GTCAGTCGTTCGAGTCGGCTAGGAGGCATTTTTTTTCGTATTTTTTCCTCGTTTTTGTTCCTTTTTTCGGCTCTCCATATCGAGATGCTCCCCGACAAGACACACGTAGCGGACCGTACTTAGGAACCCTCGCCTGCGCTTCTCAATAAATGACATTAAGTTGCACGCAGCTGAAGCGGAAGGACGCTTCAGGAGAGAGAGTGGCGAGGCGATACCAGGACTCAAAATTGCTGAGCAGTGTGGATGGACTAGCCGGACTAGTTTTCGGGCTGATCGACTTGCTTCTTACCCGTGTCATCCTTCTTGTGCTTCTTCTGCACCGGGTGAGGAAAGGACGCAGCATCGTCGCGAGTGCGCTTTCGCTGCATGCCTGGGTGATCGGTGCTTCCAACGCAGTTGAGCGGCGAGTTGCGTTCGGGCAGGCGACAACCACAGCGGTTGGTGCGACCAATAAAGTGCAGCGCATGCGTGCTCGATCGAGTAGCTACAAAGCCAGGGAGATCTTGTGGCCCGTACCATCCCACCGCCGGATGCTCCCGGAACGTAGCCAGGATGAGGAGCGTGCTGCCTTTGACCGTGATTGTCGACTGGCTCTTGTTGATGTATACCACCCTATCGAGGCGCCAAATGTTATCGATGCTAACAAAGTCCCCAATGGCGCTGGAAATGTTGTCGATAGTCTCTGCAGTAGGTCCAGAGATATTGTAGATCTTGAGCACAGTGCTGCGCTTGCGCAGTGGAGCCGCACTCCTGACCAGCTCCATCGGCCTTCCATTCCAGGTGAGTTCGAGCGTCGCAGCCTGGACGTAGTCAGCAAGAACATTGAAGTGGATCTGCACAAATCGCTCCCTGCCCGGAGCAGGCGGTAGAGAGATGGAACATTCTTGCAGGTCGAATTTGTCCTCGAGCAACATGTTGATGATCTTGGAGATGAGCTTCCCCTCGTCTGCCACGGTGGGAAGGGCTTCGAAGCGCCACCGACGCGAGCCGGGCACCATACCTGCAACCAACGGATCCGTCAGCTCCGAAGGAGGAAAGGGGATGCTGACTTTACCGTCGGGAGGGTAGATGAGCGTGTGCTCGATCGTCGCCATGTCATAGTCGTCGTGATCCTCAGCGTCACCTTGAACTCGGGTCGTCTCTTCGTCTTTGCGCATGAGGCGCTCGTAGTCAGCGTGCACATCGGCTGCGTCGCTACCGTCGTCGACATCGCGCTCAGACGAGTCTTCTCCAGCCTCTTCCGCAGCGACACTAGCACCATCGCGCTCGCCGTCATCAGCTCGAGCACTGCCGGCATCGGAGGCGACGGCAGGCGATGCAGACCGACGTTGAGTGCTCGCCTTGTGGCTGGTGATGCCCGCAGGCGGAGTTCCAACAGCACTAGGCACAGGCTCGGAACGAGCGACGGCAGCTGTTGGTGCTGGTTCTGCAGGACGATGCTTAGCCACGGGAAGAACCTCGTCTGTCACAGCGGCAGGCGGCTGGCGAGCCTGTGTCGTTTCACCATGCTTGACAGGAGACACAGCCTGCCGATGAACAGCAGCTTGCTGAGGAGCTGGTGAAGGCGCGTTGTGCGACTCCGCTTGCTGGACGTGTTGCTGACCGTTCAGGTGAGCTTGTGCTTGAGCTTCGGCTCGGGCTTGGGCTTCAGCTTTGGCTTGAGCTTCTGCTTGGGCTCGGGCTCGGGCTAATTTTCGAGCTCGGGCTAGAGCTCGGGCTTGAACTTTGGCTTCAGCATCGGCTTGGGCTAGGGTTTGCAGCTGCTGGTCATACGATTGCTGGTTAGCGTCGGATATTGTGTATCAATACAGTGGACCAGACGGGGTCTGGGGATGACCAGCGAAAGACGGCGCTCTTTATACACGCGTGTCGCTATGCTTGCAGCGAGTTGCGAGGTGAAAACTTCTGATCGTGGCTGCTCGCCAAGAGGCCCGACCTCCGAAATGAGGGCTTTGGTCGGTTGGGTGGGCGGATGTTGCTTCCCCGTTTGCCGCTTGGACCACTCTGCAGGTTGATGAAGTCAGATCGACAAAGTTCTTGCATCGCCCGAGCCTTGCGTATCGATGTTGCAACTGCTTGGTTTCAACTGTCGCCATGCTCATCGACAAGCTTTCTTTCTCGCATGGCTGGCTGTGTTGCGCCTGAAGCTGTGCGACACCAGCACGCTCCCATCCTCACCCGACCTTCACAGCTCTAACCCACCCGCACCCGGCGAAACTCAAAAGTGACCTTCCCAAAGTACATCAGCCAGTGAATGCTGTAAAGCTGCTGTGCAACGAGGGAAATGAAAGCGCAAAGCGCAATCCACTCCTACCTTCTCAATACCGCAACCTCATACAGTAAACAGCGTGCCGCACATACGGTAACTCAACCCTCATCCCTACTTTCTTTTTCAACCTCACAACGCCCACTCGGTCAATCTTGCACAAAGCAATGCCATCTTACAACCGCCCCCTCGCTTGAAATTATCACCTACTTGGCCGCATTATGACGCAGCCGTTCGTGGCGGAGCATGGCGTCCTTGCGGCTGAAGTTGGCACCGCACTCTTTGCACTTCCACTCGACGACGGCGGTCGACTTTTTCGGATCGACCTCTTTGCCCAGCACCACGCACGCGTCCAGCGAGAGCTTGCCGTCGCGGACAAAGCCGGCCTCTTCGCGCGCGTGGATCGTCTCGCGATGGCGCGCCAGATCGTACGGCCGGTGAAAAGCCGTCTGACACTCGGCACCTGTGATCGGCGAGATGTAGTCGCACTTGGTAGTCCCATCGGTTGCAACACTCGTCAGCGCTTTTGCTGCCGCCAGAGTCGTCGTCGTCGTGCCGCCTTTGTCTTTGCGCGCTACAGAGCGCTTCGAGGCGGCACTGTCTGGGGAGCCGTCCTCGTAGTCCGACTCGTTGCCCCCTCCACTCGCACTGTTGGTGCCCGTAGAGGAGGACTCGTCCCCACCGCTCGCCTCCATGCGCTCGTCGCGCAGCGGCACACCAGCACTCCCAGGCCCCAGGGCCCCAGGTGGAGGCAAGGCGGTGGGAATGGCGGTGACGTTGGCGGTGGCGGCGGGGATGGGAGCACCGCCACTTGGCTGGCGGGACGTGAGCAGCGGAGGTGGAGCACTGATCTCGGGGGCCGGCGCTTCGTACCTGCCGCGGTGGTCGATGGTCTGCGCCGAGGAGCGGATGGATGGGCTGATGCTGCCGTCGTCTTGACTGCGCGCGATGCCGCCGCCGGGCACGCTGAGGCCGCTCTCCTGGCTGCCGGGGATGTAGCCGTAGCCGCCTAGCGCGCCGGGCACGTGTGCACGCGAAGGTCGCTCATCCATACGCCCAGAGGCGCGTCGGCCGTACCGGTCGGTATCGTCCATGTCCTCGGATGAAGACTGATGCTGACCCAGACTTGGCCGATGCGCATTGCGCGCATCGTGGTTTGCAGAGTGGGCGTGCGGCGATGTTGAATGCGGATGCGCGCGGCCGTACGGCGGATATGCGTGGTGCGGGTGCGGCTGATGATGCGCGGCGTGGCGCGGATGGTAGTCGGCGCCCTGGCGGTGCTGGAGGCCGCGTCGGCCGTACCTGTCGTCGTCCGAATCGCTGCTGGAGGCCGAGACGTCGGAGAAGCGGGGCTGATTCATGTGCGCTTGGCGCAAGGCCCAGGGCTCGGTACGCACGTGCGACCAGGCGCCGCTGCCAGAGCTCGAGGTGCGCTCTTTGCCCAAGAGCGGGCGTGTGAGCATGGAGGGCGAGTGGGAGGAGCGCCCATCGCCCTTGACGGGATAATTGAGATAGAGGCTGCTGGGGCCGCCGCGGATCATGCTGGGGCGCATGTTGGGCGGATAGTAGGGGCGCTCGTCCTCGTCGTC